CAGCCGATTTAGACAGTACATCCGGGCCTGCGTGCGCTGGTCTCCTTGATCCACCGTCAGCATCGGAAGGGAATAAGTGTCGAAGGCATTTGGAAAGGGAGGGGGGATGAGTGTGTGCATATCAGTGTATATGTATGTGTGTGCGTGTCCAGAGTTCAGCTGAGACAGTGTCCTTCGCCCTGCTAGGTTAAGTAAACAGTCTTCCAGCCAACCCAGGTGGCCTTGCATGGAATGGGAAGGAACAGACTCAACACAGTCGTTATCAGGGTGTTTTTGTTTGGCTCCAGCCTTGAGACCGCAGCTGGTGCCAAAGGGGTATCTGCATAAGTGATGGTGGTTTTTACTTTAGTGCGAACAGCTCATATGAATTTCAAAGCAGTTCTACAGTCCAACACTGGTCTCTCAATCTCCCGTTGGAGAGCTGCGAGCTTCGCCATGATGTTATCAAACTTGCGCTCTGTGATATTGTCATTCTTGTGCTCAAAGAGCCGATTCTGAGAACTCACGGCAGTGTGCCTCCCCGAGATGTCATCCAATTTGCGCACAGAGATGTTATTTCGAGCTAGCCCTTCCGAGATGTATCCAGTCTGCAGTCAGAGATCTTATTCTGAGTGTTCACAGCAGCCGTAGTCTCTCCAAGATCTTATCCGTGCTGACTCAATGAGCCCATTTTTAGAAACTCACGCCTCTTCCCATCGGTTCTCTGTGTGAGCTCTATGACAAATTAGTCATCTGTGCTAGATGTACCAGTGCCCTGGCCCTATGACAGCTGGGATAGGCCTTAAACATCACCAGTTAAATTGAGGAAAATGAATGGATGGCTATCCAGTTATAGAGCATAACAAACCTTACGTAGTTTTAAACATCACTATCTCTCCTTGTTGTTTAGGACACAAACCCAGTCTGGCTTAATACAGAAAAAAGCAATTGAAGTCTAACTGTAGTAACCATGATTAAATTACAAATATGATTAATGAGGACCTGATGTGTGACAGTAAGCCTTGGCAGTGAACGACCAGAAAAGTTGGCATCTCCCAGAAGCTAAAATGAAGCTATAGAATGTGCAGATGGTGAACTATTAGCAATGCTATAAAATAAATTAAATAAAATACCAATAAAAAACTAAACAAACAAAACACAAGGAACAAACATCTGAGTAAGTGAGCACAGAGCTTCAAACCTGCTAATTATTACAACATGAAGGAGAAAAACAACAGAAACAAGACTAATAATAATGAAGATAAAAAGAATAAAAGAACAATAATAACTAGAACAAGAATGAGAGGAAGAAAAATAATTATCACAAGAAAACCAGGAAGAACAAGGAAAAGAACAGTAATAAAAACAAGTGGTACAAGGAGATAATAAGAGTATGAAATTAAAGAATCCAAGTTAAAGACGCTTTAAGATGTTATCAGGATTTTCTTCCTCTTTCTTTATACAGTGTTGCAAATTAATTTGCAGATGTGAAGTAAAAAAAGATTCACCGTCATCAGACCTTCTGAGGTTTTATTCCTCCTTTTGTCTAAAACGTGACTTAATTTTAGTCCAAACTGTTTCTAACACTTTAATCCACTCTGAGTAACCCTAGGCCATGTCGAGCACACTACTTTGGCATCATGTAGTAATCGCTCCAGGCTGGAGACAGAACGAAGCCCATGCTGATCAGAGATGAGGATTTGTCCGCCGGTTGGTACACAGAGTAATTTTAGCCTTACATCTGCTGTGGGAGATTTCAGAGCTCTACTGCCACGCTGCCCGGGCCTGCTGCCAACAATGCAATTCTGTGCGTGTTTGAAAGTGAAAACTCCCCAAACCCTCTCGTTTGTCATCTCACACACACAGAGACAGATGTTCTAACAGATGCCAAGACAGACCGAGAGCATTGTCACACAGCTCAACACACATTCTTAATCCTGTGAAGCTTGTTTGTGCCTCACTGACAGATTTATTTTAAAGCAACAATTTGTGACACCTTTCCTCCCTAAAGTCCTCTATAATCTACTTATTACTAAATGAAGAACCTACGCTGATGGCAGCAGTGTAATAAAACACTTATGAATGCATTTTAAACCCTGATAAAGGAGCTGGGATCAGCGAGTGGTAAAGATGGAAGAGGGTGAAGAACAAACCTCTTCATGGATCTTCTTCAAGAAAGCGATTTCCTCCTGCAGCGTCTCGATGCGTCTCTCCAGGTCCAGACGGGCCAGAGTGGCAGCGTCCACATCCTGCAACATTAAAAATGTTCATTTTATGTAAAAATTTGATAATCATGGAATAATTATCGACATATTTTCCATTGAATCAAAGTGTATAATGATAAAAAAAATGCATATATTACAAACTTCCATTAAGTTTGCCACACCAGCAGGCTAATTATTGTGAAACATGGCAAACATATGGCCCATGGGCCAAAAATGCAGACCAACTAATCCAGTCCACTTGATGGCTTTGAAAATGTTAGAAGTACAAAACTTTTAACAGTATTTTCCCTTTTAAAATGTTGTAACCCAGATTTATAGCCTTCTTACATCCATAGTCTGCCATAGTACACCAAAAAGTAACAGAAAAAACGAAGATACATTTTATTTATCACATTGATATTATTATATTAATATTATTATCATAATTATATTATTTTGTTATGTTTATAGTTATTTTTTTATGTTTTTGCTTCTATGATCTTCAGCATTCTTCTTCTATCTTCTAGTATCCTCCTCCTCCTGTGTGTCCTCCTTCACTACATCCATGACTCTTCACTGTGAACTTGTCTTTTCCTCCTGCCTGGCAGCTCTATCTTCAACATCCTTTGTCCAGTAACAAATATCCACTATCCCTCTTCTGCATGTCTGAACCATCTCAGCCTTTGCCCTCTAACACTGTATTTATTGGGGAAAGTACAGGAAATGAGAGTGGGACATACCGCTCGGAAAGCAGCCAGGTTGTTTTCTGCTTCTTCTTTTTGAAGAATCTCCTCCTGGAGTCTGCAGGACAGTGAGACACAAAGCATGGTTTCAGACAGAGAGCCATTAATGAGCAGCTGGATTAATGATTGGTTTGAACACACTGTAGAAGCTGCTGTCCACACACCAGGGAGCTCTGCAGAAAGACGTTAAAGCTGAATTAGGCTAATAAGTTCACAGATGCATCGTTTCATAGCCTGTATATAAAAGATGGATGTTGCCAGTGTGCTCTCACCCATTGGTTAGTGACGCCTCAGGTTTAGCATTTTCATTTTGGTGTTTTTAAACCAGACGTGACTGCACACAAGGTGGCCTGCCTGATTGCACATCCTTCTTTATCATCCTTTCTAACCTTAAATGGTCTGAAAAATGTAGAAAATAAACATTATATTGTAATAAATAAGATTTGAAACTAACATCCAGAGGTGACGCCCCCTGCTGGCAATTAGAAACAATGCAGGTTTAGCACAATTCCACATTGGCTTCAGACTTGGAAGTCCATTACTTTACAGTCTGAGCTTAAAAGGACACTTTTTCAAAATAAAAGATGAAAGTGCATCCTTTAACTTGAACTTGTTCACTTTTTATACCCTGTAAAGGTCACTGATCGGTTAAAGACTCCCCTTGTGGAATAGATTTTCTAAAGCCTGAGGAGGTTAGGAGGCTTGTTTGATCTTTGACTCTTGAAATACAAAATGCTTAAAGGTTATCATGGCAACTTTTTTTGTCCAGTAAAGTCAAAACACACACTGCCTACCACATTTAATTATTTAAGGTGTCAGAAGAGCGCCTTTAAGTCTCAACCACAAGGAAAGAAATGAACTTTTGCTTGTTAAAAATGTAAACTGCAGACAGAGAAAGGACAGATCCTTCAGATATGTGTGAGCTTGTTCCTCTCCTTTTATAGAAGAGAGCCATGTAAACACAGTGTGTGATTAGCGCTAACTTTGGTCAGTCTCAAGTAGTAACACACACACTGACACACACATGTCTATTAATCACATCAAATCAGTCACCAATGCTTTTTGGAGTCAGAGAAAAATGATGCTCAGCTCTGAGATTAACAGCAGTTTATGTCACATTTTGAATGGACTGATTGAAGAATTTTATGCTCAGGAGCACTTCATCATTATGTCAGGCCTAAAGTTAAATCATGGCGCACAAGTATATTTATCGATGCAGACTGGTTTGAGCTTTGCAAAATGCCTCTATAATCATCGCCTATTTAAATATTCGCTTTGGAGTTTTCAGGGGATCACACTTCTCTCATTTCTCTGCAGGTGTAAAATGAATAGCAAGACTTGTCATGCTGTAAATAACAATGCAGTAATAATATTAATAAATAATATTATTAAATAAAGAGCTACGTGGAAAGAAAATTACAATTTCTATCATTTAACTCAAATTGAATTTGTCAGAAGCGTGGTAACAGAGCTTACAATATAAAATTATTTTATAATGAACATATTTATTGATGAAGTTACATTTTATATTTTCATATAAACTTTATAATGCTGTATAAATTAAACAAAATATATAAAAATCAACTACAATGAGGCTAATTATAAGATATTAAAACTAACATAATTTCCCAGCTTTGTCTTTCATTAAATTAATAAATTAAATTTTCTTTTCCAGTTATTAAAAACACAGCTTTTTTATTCAAATAATGGAGTTGTATCTAATTTAACACCAGACAGTAGTTAGTTGTTGGCACTATAAGCTAACTGTCCTAATACAGAAATTAAGGTACATATTTAAACTTATCTTATTAAACACACAGTAATTAATCCTGTTCATAAGTTCAATATTCGTTGATAAATTAGAAAATGTTTTTTTATATTCCATAAATATTCCAGTTAAATCTAATCATAATAAAGAAGAAAGTAATAAAGGATGCTTAATTTGGAAATTATTAATTACTACTGTAATTAGCCTACGAGTTCAATGGTATTCAAACAGACACATTAATCAACAGTTTAATTTTTTTTTTTTTATATTTTAGGAAGTTAATGTATTATATTAAATAAAAAACCAACCAAACCAAATCAACTATAATGGAGAAAAAAGTAACAAGAAGTTTAGCTCAGTAGGTAGAGTGGAGGCCCCATGATCGGACGGTCAGGGGTTTGAATCCACTGAATGGCTACCCTGAGGTACCCCTGAGCAAGGTGCCATTCTTACACACTGCTCCCCGGTGCACCTGCTTAGTGACTGCCCACTGCTTCACTGAGCGAGTGGGTCAAATGCAGAGAGAGTAATTTCCCCACAGGGATCAATAAAGTATACATTTTTATTACTTTTATTATTATTATTACTAGCGGTTAAGCTCAATATTAAATTTCTTTAAGTCAATACTAATTTATTAACCTAGGTCATTATTTCTATATTAGTTAAAAAAATAAAGTAATTTGTTATATTACAACAAATATTGAATCTAATCATAACAGAGAATTACTATCTACATAATATTTATATAGATAGTAATTATTGCTGTTTAGCCTAGTTAGCGTAGCCAAGTAAAGTAGCAGTAACTACCAAATAACTTGCTTATGAAAATCACATGACTTAATGTTATTAAGCTATGCATTTAATTAGATAAAGATTGATTAATTATGTGGTCACTAATCTTGCTCATTAGTTCAAATGAGGGAAAAACTCATTTGGCAGCTTGTTTCTCGGTAGCTTGCACCCTACACTATTTAAGAGTCTTTTGTAATAGTCAGATAGCTTTTTAGCTTTTGTGCCAAGGTTAGTAAAAATAACATTTCACTGATATTCCGATGTTTGGTATAACCCTTTATTATCAGAGATTTTTTACCACAGCATAAACATGTTGTTAGCAGGATTACATAGATTATTTATACTTTTTAGATGACCTAATAAAATACTTTGGTTTATTTTTGCTGATTGTAATATTTTAGCAGCATTATTATTGTTAAGCTTCAGTCAAATATATGTTTTACTTTGATTTATCTGATTATACGCCCCTCTACATTCTAACATCCTTATACCCAAAATACCCCCTGTAAGGCACTCATCCTCATGACTCACCTGTAATCTTCTTCCTGTGATGATGTATAAATGATCCTGTTATATTTTGATTTAAACAGCTTTGCATTTATACAAAATATGTTTAAAATATATTTAGAGTATTTAGGAAATATCTTGAAAATAGCAAACGTATAATCAAGTAATCTGTTGTAAAGAGCACAATCTGTGAAACCAATAAGATGCACAGAGGAACCAGGGTTTAAAAATACTTCCTGTAACTGCAACAAACAGCAGATCATCTCCCACACGGCTGGTTGAATCTAGCACACACAAGCCTATGTATCACCTCATTCCTCCATTCATTATTCCACTCCACACACGTCTTTTCATTTTGCATCACAATTTTTCACTACTGCTTGTTGAGCAGTTGGCAAGTGTTCACAGAAAAGTGCAATAAAATGCAAAAACCTGCAGAGGTTTTGTCACATTTTAGTTCCAGTTACACCACACAGTGGGTAAATGCTCCAGGTTGTTGCTTAAATTATGGTAATATCAATATTTCTGTAACTGTTAAGTGTATGGGACAAGTATTGTGTACTTGTGTATATATATATATAATATTGTGTTTTTAAGAAATATTTTCAGTTTACTTATTTTAAAATTATTTTTGAAATTGTTTATTTGTTCGAAGACTCACTATAAGTCTATAAAGATTTTTACTTTAAAATTAAGTAAAGCTCTTTTTTGTCATAATATATAAAGGTCATGTCAGAATAAACAAGAATAAACAAGCTAGTAAGACGCATGACTCTTCTTGCTCCTCCCACCTGATTTTGAGTTTATCCAGGTCATCGAGCAGGTTGTCCCGCTCCACCTCTATGCGTGACCTCTGATTGGTCAGGATCTCCACCTGCCTCCTAAGCTCGCTCATCTCCTCCTCGTACAGGTCGGCAATGCGCGTGGGCTCACGGCCTCGCAGGCGCTCCACCTCCACCACTAGCGCCTGGTTCTGCTGCTCCAAGAAGCGGACCTTCTCAATGTAGCTGGCAAAACGATCATTCAGGTGCTGCAGCTCGGCCTTCTCATTGGTCCGTGTGGTGAGAAACTCCTGGTTGAGGGCGTCCGCCAGGCTAAAGTCCAGCGTCTCGCCCATGCCAGCATAAGAGCGCCCAACGGATGCCCGGGAGGTTGTCACCGGCCTGCCATAGTAGCTTGAGGAGACCCGGTAAGCTGGTGTGGCGCTGGTACGGGTCACCTCATAGACCCTGGAGGTGACATGACCCCCGCCACTGCCGCTGTGGCCCAGCAGGGATCGGTTGAGTGATGGTGAGGCGTAGGTGCCATGACCGAAGGTGCGGCGGTACGATGAGGCGGTCTGACCGGAGGAGCTGTAGGAGGCCATGTTGGAGGACACAGAGAGCCTGGCGAGAGCTGCAGCAGAGAGGAGCACTGAAGAAGAACCTGCAGCCCTCAACTATTTGTAGTTACCTCCTTCCTCAATTTCCCCCCTCCTTCCTGGGAACTGCCCTCCCTCTGTCTCTGTCTTTCTCCTTTAGCCCTTCTTGTTACATTCTTTTTCTTTCTTCTCTCCTTTCCTGCCTTCATTTCTTCTCCAGCTACCTTTTCCCCCTTGCCTTCTCTCCTTTCTCCCTCAGCCCTTTCTCTTCACTTTCTTCTGCTTTTGCAGGCATTCATATTCTATGCAGCCACAAATTTGTTTCCTTAAGACAGGATGTATAAAGAAAAAGGCAAAACAATCATAATTATGATCAAAGGAAGGAACAGACATGCTTAACACACTGCATTTGTTGTCACTAAGTGATTTAAGGCAACTATTGTTGTGATTTGGCACTATATAAATTAATTAAAATTGAATTAAACTGAATTAAAAACAACCATTGTCCAAGCTGTTACTTGAGTTGCTGACATAAGGTTTTTTTCCAATTTGTTTATAACATATTGATATTTTTATTGGCTTTGAGTGGTCATGTGAGTATTCATCAGTATTTTAAGCAAATGATTACAAAACATGTTTAACGAGCGGAAGTCCCACAGTTGCCTTAAAACATGTGAATTTTAAAGCCACAGTGTAGTGTGAGGTTGGGGTGGGTGGATAGGTCAACAAAATATTGGACATAAACAAAATAGACCTGTTTCATTTTTTTTAAACCAGTCAACCAACAATGTGTAGCATTTCCATATCTAAGTGTACGAAAAGGGTCTGCAATCAGTACGGACATCCATGTGTTTGGCACATCTGTAATAATTAAAACAAGAAGAAGAAGTCATGCAGCAGGCTATGGCAGCTTTTTTTCTCCCACTGAATAAAAGCTTTTTGCCATTTCAAAGTCAAAAATTCAGGTTACGCTTGCAAAATATTTAGTTAAGTTAAGGGTAAAATCAGGATTAATTCAATAACCCTGCTGGATACACTTGATCGACAGATATTAGTTTGTAGTGGCTGGTGGATGTAACTTTTAGACTTCCCAATTATTTGTCACTCAACTGAGAGAAAGGCACTTAAATGTCCATACTAAATTACCTAAGTTAAACTAGGCTGACCTAGCTCTTGGTTAGGTTTAGGTAAGATTACTGGGTTAGAGACAGCTAACATACAGGTCACTACATTTAGGGTTAGTGTTATACTAACTCAAAATTGTGAGAAAATAGTTTGAAATTGACCCAAAATTTAAAACTTCAGGTTTTTAAAGTTGATGAGATTTGCTCTGGAGCCAGCTTCCATATCAGGACCTGCTGCTGAGTGGGGGCAGTAATGTTTATATTTCGCCCAATACACGTGTTGCATTTATTAGTCAAACAAAAATAGAGGCACAATCAAGAGCAAAATAGTCCAAATTTCCTTGATTCCTGTTGAATGATCAATGTGGCTGTTCTCCCAGGTGTTACAATAAAGTTTATTGACAAGAGGATTTAAGGTTTAGCTTAGTTAGAACTTAGCTGGAAGCTAGGTAGCTAGCTGATATACATCCATAGATGATAAAACATGTTCTGAAAAAGGAAATACAGCAGTGCTATAACTTTGATGTAAGTAGAGACAGAAAACTAAATAGAAGTAATATTTGGTAGGTAGTGAATTTGGACTAACATATAATGGTCTGCTAGCCAAAGAGCTATGGTTAAGCTAATGTAAACACATTAGCTCAAGGAAGATGGAAAATTAGGGTTGAGCTATTCTTAATTAAGGTTAATGTTGACAGTTCTTGATGGGCAGAGACAAACACTATCACAATATTGCTGAATGAAACTTTGAAAGTCCAAGCTTCAGTCAAGAGAAAATTCGAGACGATTCATCCACCACAAGCAGTCTGCACTTCCTTCTTAATATGGTGGGGTACACTGACTAGCCAAATTCGAGATGGCCTCAAAACTTTTTGCATGCAGAACGTGGAGTAAAATAATTTTGAGGCTCTCCGTATCTTGTTCCCCATGACTCTTTTATGGTTGTTTGAGTCTTTTTGTAGTAGTTCTGCATGCTTTTGGGGTTATTTTTAATCTTTTTGTGAGTATTTAGGATGATATTTGGGGGGGGGTTTATTTCCTACTTTTGCTCAGCAATGTTTTATTTTCAATATAGACAACAATTATAGTCTATACCTACAGTTTGTGCCTACACCAATCCTTGCAGATCCATGAAAACTAGAACCGATCCTTTACAAAAAGGATAAACTTCCAAGGAAGACCTGTCGAGGTTCATGCGAACATCGTCTTTCCCTGCCGCTGTGATCTCACATCATAACAATGCGAGGATGCAAGGCAACTTTCAAGACTTAGCCTCGTCCTCACATGGTGAGGTGGCCCAGGTTGTTAATGACAGCATTCGAGGGGGAAGAGCTCTGACTAACCTGCCTTAAAAAGGAAAACTATCCCGTCCCAAGAGTCTGAGACACAGAGTGCAGCAGTACATACCAGAGCAAAGAAATACCACATTCACAAACAATATGTGCCATTAATGCTGATAACATTACATGTGAGTGTGAAGGGGATTTAAAGGGAGGTTTCCCTCTGCCAGCATTTAAAGTGGCAGATCTGGAGCCGTGTCAAACTTTAAAGGAATTACTAACACAAAAACATACCGAGCCAGATATTCATACTACAGTGCTACTGTAGTATGAACCTTTGATCTGTCCAACAATTTAATTTCATCTACTTTAGATAACAGTTTATAAATTGCTGTTTTATATGTCTCGCTTTTGTTTTTATGTGATATATTCAGTTGTATTTATAGTGAACCCTGGCTGGTTGTCTCCCTCTTTATGATGATGGTAGAAAGTGTGAACAGTAAGCAAAACAATGGAAATAAGTCTGCATTTCCACCCTAAGTACTTTAAGCTTTAGGTTCCAGGAGCTTTTTCTCAAGAAACTAAAAGGTTTCTTCAACATTAATCAGTCGTAACTTTCTTAAATCCCGCGGTAATAAAGGCCACACAGACGAGTCTCTCACAGACACTTTGACTCAGACAGGTTTTAATAATGAGATTAAAAAGGCTGCAGTTCATTCAGGTGTTTCTGCTGAAGGGCCCTGCAGGGCTTTCTGTGACACCTCATTAATGGGATTATGTACAACTGCACTAATCTCTCAGTGAAAACTCACACCTCATCAATGTTTTAAAAGGTTTCTGTGGACTGATCCTAAGCTGGATAACGCTAAATCTTTCCAAATCTAAAGCCTAAACAAAAAGGTAGAATATTTAGCTTGTGGTGATGAAATGCTGACATTTTTTTAAAATAGTGTTTAGATGTAGTTGCAAAGCAGACATTACAAGTGTGAAATGTGATGCTGGTTTAATCCACTCAAGCTTCTTTTGCTGTCTTCGTAAGAAGAGAGTTTGACATGAGTATTTGGGTTATCTGACAAAATTCTTTGTCTTTTTAAATAGAAGTCTTATTTATTGATATCTGTTTTCTGTGTCATTGTAGGATTCCCCTGTGTTCCCTGGTGTATCTTTGTATAATTTAGTCTCAAAATGTCAAATTCATGTCGGCAGGTGCAAAATAAAATCACGATTATCACATCTGGTCCTCGGTCATTGACCCAATGTCTTGAGCTCATGGACGTTCTAGTTTCAGTTCCATTTGTTTGTTTGTTTGTCTGTTTGTTAGCAGTCAAGTGTTTTTAAGGTATCAGCTCGAGCTAATTTAATTTTGGGGAAATTCAGCTCAAGGTCACACCAAATACACCAAAATCTGTAAAATCTTTATATTACCCACAATTTTTTTGGATCATTGTCAAACTTCACACTCCTTGGGGGACTTGAATGCCGAGGTTGGCTAAGCGTTTGACCTTGACCTTCATTGTTAGCGCCCAAGGTCAAAGTAAACCATATCAAGTAAAATATGATATGAAAGGGTATGAAGAGAGCTGTACAATACATGTTTTTTATTTTCAATACGACACTCTACAACATGACAATGACACTGTAACAGGCTAACGTCAGCGTTCTTTCAAGCCTGTAAATAAATCAATTTTGATTATTTCAGTCCACTGAATTGCCATGAAAATAGACTTAATCCTCATCCTTCCACCTGAAATTTAACCTCCTGTAGCTGAATGTTGGGTCTTTTATGGCCAGCACCACCCTCCATGCTCTGGTGTGGACGGTGCAGATGCTAACAGACCTAACAAACCTATCTAGGTCAGTGTTAGAGCCAATCTATAGAGAAATATTTTTGATACTGTTTCAGTTATTATGTTACATGTTTAATTTTGTATGATATGTTGTTAGAGAATAAATGCTGCGCGTTTAATTTGTGTCGGGTAAGAAAACATTACAGCGCATGTGTGGTAGCAGGTTAGAGTGAGCCAGGACGGCAATGGAAATGTGCGCTGTAGCAGCAAATAGTTTTTTGACCGTGACATCTTTTGTTTGTATGTACGAGTCAGAAATAAATCTGAACAGCTCACATTAAGAAGTGGAAGAATTATTTTTTCGAAGCTTGGGACAGAAATTCGCCAGTAAGGCTGGTGACTCCATGTTTATGTTTTGTGTTTATTAATATTTTAGAGATTTCTGTTTTTTGTTATTTTTCATCCAGTGTTTAGGTGTTCTCTGTGCTCCCCTTGTGTTCGTGTCATTTTACTTTGACGGTCCTTTGTCTCACGTCTGTGTTTCTAGCCTTGACTCCATTTAGTCTCGTCAAGTGTGATCAGTCCAAGCTGTGCTCTCCTCCTGTGTCCCATTCCCTCGTTATCCCTCAGTGTATTTTAGCCCTGTGTTTCTTTCTGTCAGTGTTGCTTTTTGGGTTTCTCCTGTTGTGCCCCCTGGAATCACCGGCCGTGGTTTCCCAGTTTTTTGTTATTAGTTTCTAGGTTTTAGTTTGGTATTGTAAGTTGTGCCACTGCAATAAAGCAGCCTCCTTCAGTTCATCCCTGTGTTTTGAGTTCTGCATTTGGGTCCTTCCTGCTGCCTGCCATTTCAT